GTGCAGCCAGAATGCTTCTTGGAGGCCAAGATGGCCAAACTTCGTCTCTCATACTTCGAACATATTGTCAGGAGGGACCAGTGGCTGGAGAAGGATATCATGTTTGGTAAGGTGGAGGGTCAGAGAAAAAGAGGAAGACCACTAACAAGGTGGATTGGTCAAGTGGCAGCATCAATGGACTCAAGCGTGGCAACAGTAGTGAGGTTGGTCCAGGATCGGGCAGTGTTTCGTTCTGCTGTGCATAGGGTCACTATGGGTTGATACCAACTCGATGGCACCTAACAAGAACAACAACAACAAAGTGGCCTTTGTCCTTAACTCTGGAAAAATACCCTTTGAAGTAAGTGGGATGCCTTGGTCTGGGACTCCCAGGCCACATCTGAGTATTTGTGCTGGCCAATAGGGGCTGGCCAGACCATAAAACACTCACCTAGAAGTTTGAGTCTTGGTGTGGCACTGTGGGTTAATGTGCCAGACCGCAAAGGCGTTTGAACTACAAGGTAGGTGGTTCAAACTCACCAGCTGCTCCTCGGAAACCCTATACAGGGTCGCTGTGGGTTGGAACCAACTCGACAGCACTTAACAACAACAGAAGTTTGATATCAAGTAGCCTCAGGAGACATGATTTAACCTATCAGGCAGGACCAATGAACGAAAACCCTAACATGGAGGCTCAGAGAACTTCCTGGTTAATGGCAACATCAGCTCTTGGGAGGATAGCACATCCTTGGGGCATGGAAGCTCCACATCTGGAACCCTCCCAGCCCTCTCCCTATATGTCTTTTCATTTGTGTCATTTGGGGCTATAATAAGTCTGTAGTTGCAAGTGTGGAATATGCTCTGTGAATTCTCTGAGTCATTTCTGCAAATTATTGAACCCAAAGTGAAAATAGGAGTCAGCAGGTCTGAAAGTAAGGGTGTCTTGTGGACTCCCAAGCTCATGGCTAGAATCTTGCAAGAGTAGTGGGAAACCAGCCCCGAATTTGTGGCCAGCAGGTCAAGTGGTCAGGGTGCCATGTGGATTCCGCAGCCCATCTGGCAGGTTGAAAGATGGTGCCTTTTATTATTATTATTATTATTATTATTGTAATATCATTTATTTAACCTACTGGGGGATATTCAGACTGTCTCCAGTTTTTTGATGTTACAAATAACATTTTACAGTTGGGGTTCAAGATGGCAGATTGAGCACATGAGTTTTTCTACCTTTCCTACAAAGATTCCATTACAACAATACCAAAGAATAATAGTAATAAAAGCTACAACCTACAGTCACAAAAACAATAGGAGTGGGGTGCCAATAGTGGGCAAATGATTTTAGCGAATTTTAGAAGACAGATGGAATAGTATTAACTATAAAGGGCAGCAAAAGGAATCACAGCCTAGACTGCAGTATTCATTCTGAGAAAATTAATTAATGACTGGCCTGTTCTCAAACCTTCTAGATCTTTACCTGTTCAGTAGGCTCTGCCCACGTGTAGTGAGTTCTCAGGCAACATTCCCATTGCTTATGCCTTAAATATCAATAGACAACTGAGAATAATATGAATGAATGTCAAGGATTACAAGATGGTGTCTTTTTAACTTGTCAGCTCTGACCTAGCTCCAGGTGGCTAGGATCAGTAAGAAAGTGCTACAGGGGTGACTAGCAATTAGAATGAAGAAGTGTGAATGTGAGAACTGGGTCAGTCTCTATACCTGAGAATTGGATTCATGCTGATCCTTAAATTTGATGTTGTTAAGTGCTTCAAGTCATTTCCGACTCATAGCGACCCTGTATAGGGTTTCTGAGGAGCGGCTGGTGAGTTTGAACTGCCAATCTTATAGTTTCAGTGCAGTGCTTATCCTACAGCACTATCTAAACTGGGGTTGGATTAATAATAATCTTTACCATGCAGATCTTAAAACGGATGAGGGCGGATATGTGAGAGGAGTGGAGGGAATGGTGGATATCACTGATGAAAACCTTGGCTAGGCAGCCAGAAATTCTAACACAGCTTTAACTAAACCCTCCTTTCCCATAGGTAGGCCTATGAGTTCAGACCTTGATTAACAGTATTGGTTGAGATTTCTAAAAGAAGAATGAAGAACAGTGATTCATCCACTTTATTTAGTATCTTGTTCTGAACAGACAAAAATAAACTACAACAAAAACATACATCTGTTTTCCCTAGGTGAATCTGACCTGGTTTAGTCTTTAATGCAGTGAATCTCTAGATACTTCAGCATCAGTAGAATGGACCTTTATTGAACCAAGCTAACTTTACAGCAAAGGTAGTGTGTTATTTCACAAATGAACTAGGTTAGCTAACAACGATAAAGGGCTAGGATAGCAGCCTTGAGGAGCCGTGGTGTCCCTGGCTGGTAGCAGTAGTGTAACTAGTTTCCTTTTTCTACTCAGGCCTCATAGGGAAATTCCTGAATGGTCTATTAGCTGATGGGAGTTGGGGAGATAATGTGGTAAAGCACAGACTAGGGAATCCTGAAGTCTCTCATGAAATGGCACCATCCTCTAGGGGAGCTCTGAGCCCCATCCCTCATTTTCACAGAGAAGAATCAAAGCCAAAACATCATACTCCCCTGTCCACAGGCCAGTATTGAAGCTCCTAGCACAGATGACATTCTGTTTGGGCTCTTGCAGCCACCGAAAGGGGCCTGAGTCTCTGCCTTGGGAGTACCTTGGACTCAACAACTCTTTAGTCCTGGCATTTTGATTCTAGGGTTGAGGCTTCCTTTTAGTGTCTCATACACCACAGTGTTCATTTCATTTTTCAGTTATCTAGTCATCATTTCAGGGGCAGCTGCCCCACCCTTGTGGACTTCAAATTTAGAGAGAAGATGGAGACAGAGGGTGTTTTTAATGTTTTAAAAAAGCTCAGCAACAGAACACTGCTGAGCAGAGTGGCACCTAATATAAGTAGTGGATTCTGCTAGATCTCTGAGAATACACTATCTCCCCTCCCCACTCCCCCTTATATTCCATTAATTCCTGTTCATATCAGTAGTTCAGGGTTCATCAAAAGTCTCAAGTGGATGCCTCTGTAATATCTTGAATACCAAGCAGCTTCTACCCTTCCTTCCCCATCCTCAAACATAAGAGCCTTCATCAAGTATCTCAGCTCCATACTGAAGCCAGGATGAATGGTTTTAAGTCTGAAAGTCTGGAGTATCCTACAATGCTAAGGTCTCTGAATATTTCCTTTCTGTACATTCAGTATACTTGGGCATATATACATTTATATACATCTCTCTATATATTATCTCTGTTTCTTTCTCCTTAGATAATCCTTTCCTATGTAGTTTATATTCTAATTCCCTGAGTCTCTACCCATCTCTTGTTTGCTAACCCAATATGAGTAATGCAAAGTAGATGAGAGTAAGACTCAAATCAAGGGTTTTGTTGATTTCACTAGATCCATTCATTCCTATCTTTGTACCCCAGGCATCTTCCCCCATCACACATTTTGTTTGTCTTCTGACATCCTCCTGCTAATATCTGTGTCTGGTGCTTTCCTGACATTCCAAGACTATGGATGGTGTGGTCAGGGGGCTCATTTTTCACCAGACCTAGCTACTTCTAAAGCTTGTCCTACACCCAAGAGGATTTTAGCTTAGAGGAGTGGAGACTCAGTCTCAAGAGCCATTTGGGGTATGTGGACAGGGGACAGAGAAGAAGAAGTTTTTCCTTACGGGACATATGGGAGACATCAGATTGCATTAAAGGGATAGTGTGAATTAAAGTGCAACTTAGAGCATCATCTTGGATAGTGGGGGAGGATCAAAAAGTCCTCTTTTCACTTTGCTACCCAAGAAGTTGAGGAGAGTCTTGGGACCATAGAATAGACAACAAGGGAACAGAAGAGTAAATCCTTCAAGAGGGAAGAAGTTGTATGCAGAAGAAACTAAATAGAGGATGGCTTGTTAATGGGTAAGAAGAGATGGATGTGCACACATCTACACCCATACACTGCACTAACGTTTGCCCTAACATATCTAGAGATATCAGGTAAGTCTAGTGTTGAATAAAGTTTGGATCCTAGAAATGGACTTTCTTTGTTCTCAGTTTCAGATTTTCAAGTTTTTCTGGTTCTTGTTTTCATGAGAGCTAGGGAATAATGGTGGGGCTTACAGTCATAGAGACTGAAGAGTCTTCACTTTCAGTATAGTAGGTTGAGTTCAATGAGCAATCAACATAAGAGGACTTTGTACAGATGTAGTAGGTGTTGACCATGGTCCAGTCTCAAAATGTTATGGTTTTTCACAAGGCTCTGTACACAGATGTATGTACATATTCTTGTATATATGGGTTGTAATCGAATTGGCTGAGTCCAGTTCACGTACACTGCTATTTGACTCATCCAGAGACTATATACCAAACCATTTTGTGGGGATTCCTTGGTATCTATCAGTAGTTAATGAGACCAGAAAGCACTCTCGAGATTTGGGTCTCTTGAGAAAGTCTTAAGACCCATATACCCTCTTCTGACCATAAGGAGTCAGTCCTCACCAGGAAACAAGGAATGGCATGAATCGTCTTTTACATGTGCTTTTTAACATGCCTGAAACTGCCTCATAGTAAAGGAGAGTAGAGACAAGACTGATTTCCATGACTTTATACTAAGTTTCAGGAGACCAAGGTTATTTGATCAGAAGGTATAATTTCCTTCCCTCCCAGCATGGACTAAGGAACTAATTGGTACTTTTAAGTAAAGGGCACCAGGCAGGTAACAGGTGTTTCCAGCTACAGAGTTCTGCTTCTGCCCAAACCTTAACAAAGCATCACCGATTCCCAGAGGATCTGTATAACAGACTGGAAATCTGAGAATTTTTCCATCATCCTTGATGGGGTTGGTATAACTTTCCTAAGAAATCAGCCCTGTGGGTCTAGTTTGCAGTTGAATATCAATGGTGGTTGTATCTGTGTTCTATGTTTCTCAGCTCAACACCAATTCTGTGGGAACAAAATCATCTATGAGAGAATTGGGTATCTTAAGAGAGAGTCCATTTGAGAAACTAGAGGAAAACAGTGGTGAAGAATGGTTTAGGTCAGAAGCTAAAATGGATATGATACCATGAAAAAACCTAGCTTCCTTCTATAAGAGTTGATAGAGACTCCAGAACATATTGATTCCTAATTCCTATATTTCTCAGGGCACACCCCTGAAAACAACCATCAGAGGAGTCTTGACTTAGGAAATTTTCTAGAGAAATAGAAAGGAAGGGGGCTCCAGCCTCAAGTCACCAAACTAGCTGATGGTGGCCAGAGGGAATCTCTTCATCCAACTGCATGGCCCTCCTGATGTGACTCTCCAAGCATGGCTGAGGCCTTCTGAGCCACTTCAGCCTAATCCTCCCTCTTCTTCCCCAATCCTGGCTTAAAGGAGATGTGTGTTGAGGTGTGAGGGAGGGGGAGGTGAAAGAGGACAGTGGGAGGAAGACTGGAACCCCAGTTGGCCGAGACTACTCACAGACCATTGGGTTAAGATGAGGGAGTGGAAGATGGGTACTTCTGGGACTCTCCAGTAAACCTGGGTAGGATCCCTTACCCAGGGTGCCAAAAGAGAGAGGAAAAGAGACCAGAGGGATGGGGAAGTGGGACTCCAGCCTCAGACATTGCTGATGCGCACACTAAGGGCACTGCCCTCCTTCTCAGCTTGCTCCCTTAATGACTCCTCCAACTTGAGCTTTTCTGGGTCTCCGTAGCTGTCACGGAGACCACTGGGAGGGGCCACTTTCACAACTTGGTCAAAAAGGCTAAAGTCAGCTATGTATTTGCCACTGGCCGACAGTGAGATGGCAGGTGTGAACTCATAGCCCCAAAGGATCTCCTCTGGCAGATAGGAAGTGCGCACCTGGCAGGTGGCACTAGTGGACTCCACTGTCCCACTTAGAATCAGCACCAGCTCGAAGTCACCTTCACCACTGCGGAGGGGGAGATCTTTCAAAGGACTGGTGTCATCTACCACATGATAGAAGGTAAGGGGTAGAATGAGGAAGGGGCTGTCAGAGGCTGTGTCGACTTGGAAAGTCACATTGACTTGGTTGAGTCGGATGTTCTCACCCTCCTTGGTCTGGTGGGTCTGAAGCAGTTTGCCTGTCACCTGGCAGCCTATGAGGAGACTCTTACGCATATTGGCAACACGGATCATAAGGCAGGGCTTCCCATTGTGGGCAGCTATGACCGCATGCTGGCTGAAACGGATGGTCTCAGCCCGCTTCTTGGGCCGGGCAATCTTGGCCAGGAAGGTCCCTGTGATGAAGATCTCCAGAATTGTAGTGAGCACCAGCTGGGCAATAAGCAGCACAATAGCCAGTGGGCATTCTTCACTGATGTAGCGGAAGCCATAGCCAATGGTGGTCTGGGATTCAAGAGAGAAGAGAAAGGCCCCAGTGAGTGTATGCACCTGTACCACACAGGGAGTATGGTTGGCTGGGGGACCCAGCTCCAGCAGATCTCCATGGACCACAGCTACCAGATACCACACCACGCCAAAGAGGAACCAAGTGCCTGCAAAGGTTGCAGAGAAAAGCAGAAGCTTGTAGCGCCACTGCATGTCAATGAAGGTTGTCCACAGGTCTTTGAGGTAGAGGAAGCGCTTGTCAGCAATGTGCTCCATCCTCACGTTGCTACGACCATCCTTTGTCAGGACCCTCCGCCGTCGTATCCCTGGGCCCATTAGGGGCCGGCTTTCTGTCTGAGTGGTCTGACTGTAATACACCTTGGCAACAGATGTCATCTGGAGGGAGCAAGACAACAGAATGGAAGTTATCTCATAACTATGGCCAACTACAGCCACCACCCAGTGCAATATAACAATTTTGGCCCATTATTTGTTCTTTGATTAACAAATATTTAGTGAACACTTGTTATATACCAGGTACTGTACGAGGTGCTAGTGAATCAAAGATGAAAATGACATTATCCTTTCTCTCCAAAAGCTCAGTCCAGTTAGCAAGACATAATGTTCAATAAGCATCTCTCCTCGCAGTGCAGTCTGATACTTATAATACTCAGAAGAGGAAAGGTATAGAAGTAGTAATAAGTTCCACTTCCTTATAGGTAACAGTGAAACTAAAGAGAATTCTACTGATTTCCAGTAGCCACAAAACCCATTCTGTGAAGATCTCTAATTCTGAAATGGAACCCTCCCACCCTCATGAGTGGCACCAGTAAAAAAAAGGCCATCTTGTTGAAATCCTTCCAGATCAATCCCTGTTATCAAACACATAAATTTTCCATTCTCTCCCCTAGTTCCAAGTCAATATCCAGTGCTAATACTAAGATATTCATCTGGCTCAGAAAATAACAAAGACTTCCCATTTTTCTACACTTTGAGATATTCTCCAGATGTTATTATCTTTTGGCACCATTTTTGGAAATTCAGTCTGGGCTATGGTGGGGAATGACACAGACAAGGCCTGAACAAAAAGAAATGGGGGTGGATGTGGGGAACAACTTTCTGAACCCTTCTGGTACCATATGACTATTTTCCCAAGGACTGGGAGAAATGCCAGATTGTAGGTGGCAAAATTGTCTTGACTGAGTGAAGTAGGAGAGTTAGGAGTGTATATTAGTTGGTGGCTATGTTTGTGCAGGCTCTAAGTCAGGATTGCTATTTGTTCTGATAGTCGAAAGTGGGTCAAGGCACTGAAATAGGAGACAGTTCACTTAATACAAAGTGCCTGGCACCCCTGTCCAATAAGTAACTTGTACTTTTCCAACCGAGAAAGAATTTTAATCACTTGGACCCTTGGCTTGGTCTGATCGCCAAATCTTCTGGTAAGGTACAGGGTGATCTCTGAGTGGTTTGGCCCTTCTTATTCTGTATTCCAAGAAGTCTGAACTATTCTTCTTCACACTATTCTCCTACCATATCCTCCCTGTGGCCTGTCCCCTGGAAAATTCGAAATCATTTGGGTCTATTTTTGCACCCAACCAAGTGACCACTGAATTGGAGATAAACAGTGAATGACAATCCCAAGAATATTCAGAGACCAGGATCATCAAGAAGGATGAGCATGAGTGGAGCATGAGATCCTACCTAGAAAGGTGACTAGAACAGAGACAGTGGAGAGATAGAGCAGCTACGGGCTCTAGGCCCATGGAACGAGTAAGGTTGTGTACCTCCGGGCAGGAGCTGACTTGCAGAATATGCCCTTTGGACATTTAAATAAATACATATATTTTGTTTTGTATGTGTACATCAAATATGTTTGGTTTGTTCATTTGTGAAATATAAGACATAAAAGGGAAGCTACAGAGAGGAAGTAAAATAACTGTTGTTGCAGGGAAGGGATTATAATCATTGAGATGAAGCAAAGCATATAATTTGTTGAATGTAAAGCTGATGACCTTGTCTGTTAACCTTCACTCAATTCACAATAAAAAGTTTAAAAAAAAAGAATGTAAGAATGTTCAGAGAAGCAAAGCTATCTATTGTACCTACCCCCAGTTCATTAGCACTTTTGATTTGGATGCCACTCACTTCCAATATCTTTGACTACTTTGGAGCAAAAGGGAAATTCTGAGAAATTTTTAAGAATTCTTATTTAGAGCCCAAGTAAAGCCTTCTTAGTTCACAGTAGTAGTAATTATTGTTGCTCTTGCTAAGTGCCATGGAGTTCGTTTTGACTCATAACGACCCTGTGTAGGGTTTCATCCTTTAAGGCTGAAAAAGGATTTAAAAGGCTTTAAATACTTTTTAGTGGGAGAAAATCTCATCTTTCTCCCAAGGGGCAGCTAGTGGGATTGAACCACTGACTTTGTAGTCTGCAGTCCAATGCTTACCCTGTGGAGCTACCAAGTTACATAATAGTAATAGTAATCATAGTTAGAGTAAAACTTGTGTCTTCATACCATTTTTTTTTTTTTAAGTTTTTATTGTGAATTGAATGATAGTTTACATGGAAGAACATCAGCTTTACATTCATCCTATCATATTTTGTTTCATTGCAATGATTATAATCTCCTCCATGCATCATCAAACAACCAAAGGCAGACCCCACAAGACTGCCCTCAGCCATCAGCACACAGCCCCTCTCCATCCCTGAGTCCAGAGTCCCCAGCTACTCCATTTCTAGCATCACTGCTTCTCTGAATAGGGTCCTACACTCTGCTCTTCTCCCTTGATAGTTCCAGGGTCTGCCACTCCTGGGCTGCAAAATCAGCCACTCCCCTCCTTTTGTTACAAAACATCTACCTTTACATTTCCGATCCACACAGTCAGCCCTGATAGCAATTATTCACTATTGAACCACAATAGTCTTAATCCCCATCTCCTTTCATCAGCGAAAACCACTCAGTGGAGATTCTACCTTCCCCTGCACCCTCTGGGACTAGGTTCCCTCTTGAAAGCTTGTAAGCCAGTCACTTCTTGCCTTTGTAGCCACCCCCCATTTTGGATAGCCAATGTCTGAATTGCCCATCCCTGTCAACCCTGTGTATCGAGGGGGTGGGACTGATCCTTACTGTAAAAATTTGTTCTCTGTTTTGAGCTACTACATCCATGAGTTTAGGTCAAGTTCATCAAATTGTAGCACATTACTCTTTTTATCCTCTTCTTTCATCCTCTAGTAGAGTTCTGATCATCCAGCCTTTGAAGCCAAGTCAAGTGGGTATTATCTGCAAGTATGGCTGTTCTTGTGCGTCTCCTCTCACTTCATATCAGCTGGATGCTTCACACTCCACTCTAGTCCTCTGTGGCCATGACCCTGTCAATGAGCCCAGGAGTCTCCAGGTCTTGCCATACTCCTTGCCAACCAGGTCTCAACCCAGGTTGACAGGAGTCTATTGAATATGGTTGGACTTAGCTCACAACTTCATTGCTGTCTTTCCCCCAATTTATACCATTTTAAAGTTTATACATTAGCATGCCTTCTCATTTGATCCTCGAACTATTGAAAAGAAAATATGAAACCACTATAAAAGATTTGGAAGACTATTAGGGAGCCAAGGATGTCTATTGTACCTGCCCCTAATTCATGGGGGAAGTGTTGGGAAGTTGGAGATGGGTGAACACATAATTTTTATTCTTAAAAAGACAAACTAAATACATCTCACAAACTACAAGTAAACAGGTAAGATATTGATCCTAGGCAAGATTGTTGTTGTTGTTAGGTGCCATCAAGTTGGTACCAACTTGTGCACAGCAGAACAAAACACTGGTCAATCCTGGGCCAACCTCACTACTGTTGCCACACTTGAGTCCATCAATGCTGCCATTTGGCCAATCCATCTCAATGGATTTTTTTCTGACCATCCACCTTACCAAACATGATATCCTTCTCTAGCAACTGATCCCTCCTGACAACATGTCCGAAGTATGAGAGATAAAGCCTGACCAGCCTGGCCTCCAAGGAGCACTCTGGCTGCATTTCTTCCAAAATGGATCTATTGGTTCTTTTGGCAGCCCATGGCACTTTCAATATTCTCCTCCAACACCATAACTCAAAAGCATCAATTCTTCTAT